GTCTTCAATTCACTTTAGAGAATGGGGGGAATAAACTTGAATTTCTTGACGTTACAATTTTAAAACACAACAATGGCTTGATTTTTGACTGGTATCGTAAACCCACGTTTTCAGGAAGATTCCTCAATTACATGTCCAACCATCCGGTATCTCAAAAAAGAGGCATGATTTTTTCGTTGGTTGATAGAGCCTTTTTACTTTCAGACGTTTGTTTTCACAATAAAAACCTTAGATTCATCATTGAAACCTTACTCAACAATGATTATCCGATGGCATTTATATTTAACACTGTCAATCAAAGAATAAAACATCTAATAAATAACAAAATTAACGCATTGAAGAATAATAGTGATAATGTTGAGGAATCAGCAACCTACACGTGGCTAACGGTACCTTACATTCCAACACATTCAGAAAAATTTAAAAGAATCAAATGTGACGACATCAGAGTATCTTTTCGTAGTCCGAATAAAATCAATAAATATATCAAAGTACAGAAAGACCCAAAGACTCTAAAAATAATGTAGTTTACGAAATTGAGTATAAAGATTGTGCAGTAACGTACGTGGGACAGACGGGGGCAGACAGTTGAAAACAAGAATTGCAGAACATAAAAATCACATCAGGCGAAACACAACAAATCGATCAGTTATTACCGAGCATAGGCTGGAACACAACCATGACTTTCAATGGGACAACGTAAGAATCTTAGATGAAGAGCCGTGTTATATGAAACGCTTGATATCAGAGATGATTAACATCAAGAAACAGACGAATAGCCTGAATTTACAAACAGACACTGAAGGACTCCACAAAGCGTACATACCAATAATAAATAAGTTATAACATTTACTAAGCTGTTAGCGATCAGTACATCGACGAGTCACATTGCGTGCGGACGTGTCTTTCTGTACAGATGTTAAAATTACAAAATAAAAGAATATGGAGAGGAAGGATATGAACTATAACGTTGTGAACAATGCAATATCTTCGCAAGCGATAGAATGATTTATAGTGAAGTGTGCCTGTTTAAAGGTATGTCATCTAACTATGCAATACGTGGAAATGTGTAATGTTCCATAAATCTAATTCTTATTCTCTACAGTGAACATCTATCCAACGAATTATGCAATCGATTGAGAACAGATGACATACGCTTTGGATGGACTCACTGAAATGCGAGCGTTTTCGTTATCTACCGTAGTATTAAGTTGAATTCTGAAGATGGCTCGAACCGAGAGCCGAAACGTAAATGAAATTAAGAAGATTGTTAATTGCGATCAAAGACAATCAGTAAATATATAGCTCACTAGATTTTCTTTTTCTTTTGTAATAAAAATGCTTACTCTAAAGGCATTGTAACCTACTTTGGCGACTCTTAATGTCCTTTTATTAATATTTTTATACCTTTATTGAAGAGTCCTTTACTATTTATATTTTTATTTTATTAAACTTTAAAGGTTCGTAACTCAGGAAGATCTCAAGCAAAAAGAGTTTGTAACCAGTGTTTCGGAAATGTCTTGACACCAGCTTTAAGGATATGTAAGAGAAAATTGGTGTTTCCATTTAAGATTTCAAAGTTGACCTTCACGGTGTCCTTCAAGGTCACATGAAGGTCATTTCAACATAACCATATAATAGACCACTTGATATACTAAAACTTTTGTATTGAACATTTTTTTCCATAAGCATTATTTTTCAAGATATTTGACCGTTGCCGAACTTTCTCCCATCACTGTATATAAAATATATAAACGACAGACAAAAAACTTTACTTAAAGTAGAGATGCCTCACCTGAAGACCGAGACCAATCGCAGTTACGGCATCTAACTGACGTTCTATCCATGGTCCAACAACATTGGCTTTTTCAGCGAATTGTCGTCTAAGCAGTTCATTATCTATTTTCACAATTCAGGAAATATCTTTTAAGAGCAATGAAAATGAGAAAATGTTCATTAAATCGTAATATAAATTTATATTTGGTAAAATTTATATTAGGATCAGAAAATCAAGTATATATTAAGTAATCAAGATCAGAAAGCAAGTATACTTTGTTGTTTGCGAAGTTCAGCTGCTAGAGTACCATCGCGTTGAGGGACTAATTGTCTAACATCGCTCCATTTCTTAGTAAGGTCCTATAGAACAAAAAGTATCGATTAATTTGAGAGTAATCCCTATACTACATCAATAATTTATTCTTCGACATACCATTGCAGTGAGAGTAGTGTAAGGATTCTCTAGGCCGCCAGGAATCTGGTATTGCTTGACTATGGATTCGACTTCGCGCACCAATCCTACAATTGAATTGTACTCTTTATCTGCTTCGCCCAGCGTAGCCTTGAATGCAGCGTGTGCGTCCATTAAACCTTGGATTTCCTCCATTGTGTGGACGATAAACATGTCCACTAGATCTTCTCTAGTTCCATCCAACCAATTGTTGAATGGCTGAAAATCATGTGACATCAGTCTGTATAAAAAAAGGAGCTGACAATTTTACGGATCAAATTTTATGTAATCAAGTGCTCACAGCAGCGCGCTTGGCAAATTCCAGATGTAAGACGTCTATCTTCTCCAGTATTTTCTCGGCTTCATCGAGAGCTTGACGTCTACGTTGAGTGAGCGTACCCAAGCGATCCCATTGATCACAAATGCGTTGGCATCTGGCGTTCACAGATGCGCTATCGTGATACTCGAGGGTGCTATAACAATAGAATTTAAGTGTTACAATGATCAAAATAATCGTCTAAGATAGATTCAGAGTCTTGACATTACTTAAGTTCTTGAGCAATAGCCGCGATCTGTTCTACGCGATCCTGATGAGCAGCGAGGTCTGATTCGAAAGCTTCATGCTTCTTTTTCAAGGCCTTAAGTTCGTTTAATTTGCACTGCCGGAAGTGTTGAGACGTGAGCATCTCTTCTTTGCCGGCGGTCCAATCCTCGTGAGCATCTGCCTTGTGCTTGAATTTTTGCGCCAAATGTTCCAGTCGCTCTAGACGCATCATTTCGGACAATAACCAATCCTCGAACGTCTTTTCGGCCAACTCCAAATCTAAACATAATTTTTAAAATACCAGTATTTTATTCGAAAATATACAAAGAAATATGTACAAAGGGATTCTAATAAAACTCACTTCTCCACGCTTTATTTATGTCGGACACCATTTTTCCTTCTGTGGGCATATACGCCGGTCTATTGCTCAACCTCAGTTTCGTCTGAAGAGTATTGAAATTCGTTTCCAGCTTGGCTTTCTGTTCGACACGCGGCGGCTTATGTTTGCGCCGATATGTCCTGTACTCCTCCAGTTTCTTCTGACAACCAGCGAGGGAATTATCAGTCTGTCGATTCGCGAGCCATGGTAGCGTTCGTCGTATCCATTCGAGTAAATCGGAAGCCAAGCGCTCGTATTCCTCCATGAGACGCTCGTTCTCTTGGTTCACCTTCAGTACCTTGCAGATTCTGTTAGCCGCTGTCTCTGCCTATACAATAAGAAAATAAGTATTTTTTCCTTACAAAGAATTTTCAGATTACGTTTATACATTTGAAACGTATGTAGTTTACTTCCACTGAGCAAGATGCGTGCAATCTTGGATAGTCATTTAGAAATGTAAATAAGAAACTTGAGATATAAAAAAATATTAAATGTCTTGAATTTTTTGCTGCATGTATTAACAATGTATTTCAATAATGTACACGCAAATATTTGACGTGTTTGTTATAAGTTATAGGTCATAAGTTAATTCAAATTGAAAAACACACACCTTTTGAGCACCGCTAAAACAGTGGTAGTATGAGGAAACATAGGTCATCACAGCTCTCTCATCAGGCATTGCCGTATTTCGCATATCTAGAAAAACACATTCGAAGAAACTCAAACCATGCGTTGTTAGCGTAAGAACTTGCCGTTAAAAATTTAATGAATTTTAACAGTAAACAAGTCCAGTAAGAAGCGGAACGCCATTAATAATTCATTACATAATTCTTACAATGTCATATCTACAATACATATAATAAAAATGCGACGTCCTTCGCATAAACTATGTTGGCAAAGATAATACACACAAAATTCGGTCGTGACATAATTTTATTTAAAAAATGTTATAGAACACAATGCATAGTTGGTTTCGGTCCTGGTGAAGTAATTGAATTAAGACAACAGCAAGGTGATCAATTAGCAGGTTCAAACGTCGTTATCTGTTAGCATACGATTCGTTTAATTATAGTTCGCGTTAACCAAGGATTAAACAGGTCGCTTTTAACAACGAGGGTAAGGACGAGGGAGAGCAACACGCATTTTTTTACGCTGACCTGCTGGGCACCTTGGAACGCATGGTAGTAGCAGGACACATACGTCATGATAGCTCGCTCATCCGGCTTGGGAGTGTTGATCAAATCTATATGATATCAAGGGAATATATGAACATTAAAGTGTTTATGCATGTCATTTCGATACTAAAAGAAAGAATCCAATCGTGGTTCCATCCTATATAGCGACAGGCAAATATATAATCTCGGCGATTCGATATAATCGTCTCCTCGATCCTAATAATCAAAATGTCGAACGTGTGTTCCGTATATTCCTAAGATGTCTATCGTAAGTATTTAATTTAACGTTAGATTTGATACATACCATCGGGATCTAACATGCGAGGAATGTCGAGATACTTTTCAGCGACATCGAAGGCAGTGTTCAAGTTCTCCAGGGGGTTGTCTTTGCTGAGTTTATTGTAGTCGATCAAATCAGGCCGATGACGATGGATAAGAGCGCAGAACGCGAGACCGTCCTTGAAGGATAAATGGAAGTTTTGAACGTTGACATTCTTGTACGGTGCCGTTTTGCGTTGGCACCAAAGTAACAGTCCTTCCTTCGCGGTCATCTCCTCTACAGAGATATCCTGGATTGCGAATCTCAAGATAATGGTCCATATCATTCCCAAAGTCATCTTTAGATTACCGTCAACGATTTCTGTCAAAAAGTTATCGATTCTTGAAACGTACAAGGTAAAAAAAATAAATTACATTAAATATACAATATTTTTATATTAATAAAATACAAAAGTATGATGCAAATATTAAAACTCTAATAAACTTTGATTTCTATAACATATATTATTGGCATAAAAAATATTTTTATAAAATCAATATACACAATTTAACATATTACACTTTTTACGCAATGATTTTGTTAAGAACTTTAAGAGGAAAAACGTACCTTCCGCACCAATTGAAACCAGCTTAACGCCTTTACTAGCGATATAATCGAGGGCCTTGTTCACGTTGGCAATCTTGTGGAACCTCATTTTGCCCCTGTCTGGTCTCGGAAGAGTCTCACCTGAGATGACCTCAAGCAGTAACATCAGTTTCAACCCATTCCTGAAATCGTCTTCGATCGATTCGATGGCAGTGCCTGCTTTGCGTAGATGCGAGTTGCACCAAGCTGTGAATGTCTGAAGACATAAAAAAAGGACCAATTAATCTCGTTCAACAATCATAAATTGGCAGTGAACAAGACAAGGGTTAATGTGCAATTAGCACAGAAATCATAAAACAGAAATAATAACATGGCAATTCAAAGACAGTTTGACAGTTTATTTTTAATATAAATTATATAAATCATGAGAAATAATCATTTAAAATGGGAGATTGAATTTCTTCGCTATATACTTAGTGTATATTTTAGTAGCGACCCCGATCCCTCTCGCTATATATATCTTCTGTCCTGATTCTTAAACCACGCTTTCTATCATTCTACAATGATTTTCTGACAATCTTTCGATATCTTTCTACAATTATGAAACAGCACATAATCTTGTTAAAAACAATGTTCTTATATGTCTATAGCTTTTTAAAATATACCAACAGGAAATCAGATACCAGAGAAAAATCTGCAACAAAATTTCCAACTCTCTAAATTCTTTGAAGTGGAATTTCGCTCTGAAGAATAAAAATTGAGCCAGTCTTGAAAAACAGTGACTCAATTTTCAATATTTAAGAGTGAGATTTTACGCTTTACAATAAAATGCACTTTACAAGTTTTAAAGAGAAATTAAAAAGATGATTGTTTACATTGTATCAGATTAAAATTTTCTCAACTGTCGCTCTATATATTAATTTCTAATATCAGCTTCCACAATATTTATCTTTTCAACAATGACAATTTTCACAATATGAAAAATTGCACATTACGTCTACGTAACGATCGAGGAGTCTGGAGAAGGTGGCGAGCGAGAATAAATCGGAATGTGAGTTCACGGACGATTTATTCGAAAATCAAAGTAAAACGCGGCATTTGATCGAGATTGATAAAAAAAACTCCGAGCGCTGATGGTTGAGATTTTAGAGTTGGAAAAATATTGCTTGAAATTCAATACGGGCGGCGTGAAGCCCACGACGGGCCAATTTTGGACATGAGCCACCCTCCTAACGTCTCTGCACGCGCTCTAAGATCTATTTGTAAAACATTGACTCCTCCCGCGCTCGAGTAGGTATTAAAGCATTTCCGAGAGTATTTCCGAATAGGCCTGTTATTTAATAATTAAACTGTGTGAACGTAATTCTCTTTACGTCATGGAACGTATGTACGTCATCATCGGAGACGTGTATAAGAAAACAGTTACAGTAAGGGGATACACACAATGAAGAAATAGGAACAGGAACAGAGAATAAGAATTTCAACCAATCAGAAACGATGCACTACAGAATACACAGTTTGATAGGTTGAAATTCTTATTCTTTGTTCCTATTCCTATTCTCTGTTTTTATTCCTTCATTGCGCGCAGTCCTTTAGAGTCTTCGAATACGATCCGTCTCCGAAGAATAATTAACATTAATGTTTTAACATTGTGACTAATAATTTATTTCGGCTCGTTTCTATTGTGTATATATTATGAATTTTATCATTTGAGCCGTGTATTGTAATTTAATTTTTAATTAGTATATGCAAATTCCAACATGCAGGTTAATACATAACCATTGTACATCAGTAACTTATCATTGTTATAAATATATTATTTTAGCTCGTAGCTCCTGTATTTTCATTTGAATTCTTCTCAATTGTATATTTCATTCCATCTGTTAATTAATTATTATAATAAGGTCTAGGCCTACATTATTGCTGATGCTCACCTTTTAAAATGTAACTTTAATTTATGCATTGCATTTTATGTTTATAATTTTATATCTTGCACATCAATAAAGTTTATTATTATTATTATTATTATTATTATTATTATTATCATCATCATCATCGATCGCTGAATAATAAAGGCTATCCGTTGATAAAAGTACCGCCACGCGATACATTTGCGGAATTTGTAATTTGATACGTCACTTAAAGGTCTTTTACATACGCGAATGATGTGCTGTATCGATGGAAATATAGCGCGCAGCTTATGGTCAAGAAGCGTCCTCGAGGATGAAGGAATGCGATAGCCCGATGTATTTGCTGATAATACATTATTTCTATTTCTGACCGTTTATGCGTTACGTGTAATATGATCATTTTCCAACTTATGTCGATAAGCGCGTTTGGTCGTTTTCGAAGACGACTTACAACGAACGGCAAATAACATTCTTTCCGATTTACACCACACAATCCGCGAAATAAAAATCAAAAGAAAAAAATTCTCACGTCCGACTGATCGTGTTGTGTATGAAAAAAAGTGTACGTTCCTCGCAAATGGAGAGCTATTCTTAGAAAGAACTGACATTTATTTTCTTTATAAATATTCAGTTGCAAAGTGATTAAAATGCATAAATCAGCTTATTTATTTTACATTTAAAATTCTTTATAATCTGTATAAAAATATATTACAATGTTGATTACTATATTATTGGATTATAGATTTGAAAAATAATACTAAACTTTTGTGTGTGTGTGTTTTGCTTTTCAGTCGCTTTGTGCAATTGAATGTTAACGAAAGAGATAAAAAAAAATCGATTCTTTATTCAGTGTTATACTATATTATTTGAGAAGCTTACGCTTCTTTCCGTGATTATTTTTCCATAAATGTAATTTTTATCGTTACATTGACAGACCATTATTTTCGGGACAATTCGATGCTATCATATATATGATACTCCGATTAATGCGATTGCTATATAAAGTGGAGAACAAACAATTCAGAAGTATTGTACATTAACTTTTTAGATTTTTATAAGATATCTATTTTTAAGTTACCGAATCTTTTATCTGCTCTTTTCGTAGTATCGTCTATCATATCTAGTCTGCTCAAGATAATACTATCTTATTAGTATTAAAAGCTTTCGCACTGATTGTCGTACTATATATATTCCACGATAATATCGTCGATGTCAGTGGCATCATTACAAATTTTGTTTCTCTGTGAGTCATTTCGTCATCTCTCTATGAACTTTAATGTATGACACACACCAGTATATTAAAGATACTATAAAAATTATCGTTATTTCGTTGCATACCGCGTTATTTCATGCGCGGTTTTCGCAAAATTTAACACGACGAATATGCTTAACTAGGTATACACTAACTTATATATTTGGAATCAGTGAACTCTAAAACTCCCAAATATCAAATTATACTCGTCAAAAATTCAAAGTTGCGGATTCAATATGAAGAACCGACATTGCAAGAAAATAGACTAATTTGTATGAATGTTTGTTCTCATAGATTTTTGAGATTGCTAATTTCGAATCTAAAGCCGAAAATTACCAAATTCAAAATCATGGACTGTTGCTTTCGTTTTATACAAATTAGTTACATTTTTGTATTTTAGATTCGCCATATTAGGATTCGATATTTTTAATCTTTCAATTTTTACTTCTCACCTTCGTCATCAGCCTAAAAATCCTGAATACCCGTTTTTTATTGACTAGATCAATTTTTGCATTTTCAATACGTTAAGTTGGATCATTTTGAATAAAAAATTTTCAAAATCTAATTTCATTTTCGTAATGACTACAAAAATATATGCTTCAAAGAGTTAAGGAGATTTATAATATTTACTGCATTATAGTATTTATTGCATATAATATATATTCACTAGTTAATAAATGTAACAGTTAATGGACAGTTAGTGGATGTGACCCAATTCGTTGGAAAAAGTGATACAAAATTTAAATATTAAGCTTTTAATAATATGTACAACTTTAAATAAATTTGTTTATAAAAATTTAATAACAAATTTATATAAAATCGTACATATAATTAAAAGCTTAATATTTGAAACATTTTATCACTTTTTTCAACAATTGGTTCATGTCCACTAACTGGTAGTTTTATTTTAATAATCGCTAATTTCCGCTCTAAATATATTCATCGTGAAAATAATCGAAAAAACAAAATCAATAAGAAAAGAAAATGTTTTATTATATTTCTTGTTATTGTTTTATTATTTTGACATTATAATTTTTTATTTTATAATATATCATGAACGTAATTTCGTCATTTATACGGATTATAATTCACGTAATCCGAATCTCGAATAACATCCGATCTCTTCATAGTTTTATGCGCTAATCTATTTTTCTATAAAAATTTGCCGACAGTTTATGTTGGTCGGTGTCGCTCCTATTATTCTTATCGGATAATAGGAAAGATATTTTCGTACCTTATCAAAATATATGTGCATGTACATAACTTTCGATAAGGTGCGACAGCATTAAGACGAAGAAGTCATCATTTACGTCGCTTACTTTGCGAAATATTTGTCCTAAGTGCTATCACATCTTGTTTTCTATTCTCTGCAAGTCGAGAACGTATGCCTCTATTCATGTTGCATTTAAACTTGGCGACGGAACAGTTTAATTACAGAACAGTTTGCAAATGAAATTTTTCTCATGAATATGTCAACAAGTCTCTTCAACGAGTCTCTTAAAGCTCTTCTCGAAATCGTTAATTTATATCTAAAGAGAAATAATTTGATAGCCTCTGTTAATTATTTATATATGCAAATTGTATTGAAATTATATTTAGATTGCAGAAAGGATTTTTTAAAGAGTTACGTCTCGCGCGCATCTCGAATTAATTAATTCACTCTTATAGGAGAATACATTATTGAAAGTCGTCAACGGTATGGAAGTCATAATTCGACAATGTATCTGTCGTCTATATTAAAATATATTAACTTTTATATCAATTAAATACTTCATTTTTCATTTATTATATAACAACCATAATTTTTGCAAATTATCATAGATATATCGATGCGTTGATATAAAAGTGACACGAATAAAAAAATTAGCATTTCTGAGATACTGAAAAAAATTGACTCTAAAAATATTATTTTTTGTAGAAAAATGGTTCATTTGTAGCTCGTTTGTTTATTATATGGAAAAATGCCATAATTCTGATAAAAGATGGAATTTATATTACATTAAAGTTACAGTATTCAAATTTTGAATAACTCATAATAGTTTTAAAAAATAGGTATATATTGTAATTAAAAATATAATATACGGAAAGAAAGTG